TGTATATTGTCTGCTCATGTCTTTTGGCATGCTGTTCGTTTTGATTGGAGTTGTCCTTTATGAAATTTATTTTGGCAGTCTTTTGTAGTTGTTTTACAATAGTCTGGATTTGGGAAGAAAAGTTAGGCTGCTTTTTGTAACATATATACTCAGAGGTATGTGAGCTGAACAAGGGTCAAGAAGTAGGGAAAAGGAAGTTAAATGCTTGAGGGAGAAATTTACAGGATTTAGAAAGTGGGTGCAGTCCAAGATGACTTCAAGGTGAATTAGAAAAAGAGCAGTGCTTTTAAGAAAAATACAGAGTGATATGGAAAGATGAGTTTATTTTGGGGAGGTTAAGAGTGAAGAGGATCCAGGTTGAGCTATCCAGGAGACTTGTGACTAGAGCTCAAGAGTAGAAGATAAAGAATTACAAATAATTTTTTTTTTTTTTAAGAATTACAAATAATTTGATTTACTGAGAGAGGATTGTTTTGAAAGGTTGGCAGTGGATGAAATTGCTGAAGGAGACATTTGAGAATAGGTCTGTGAACAGGGAGTCTTACGAGGACAAAATTGGGAAGGGTCAGCGGGGTCATGAAGAGCTAGGATGGTAGATTGGCATGTTTGCCAAGAAGAACAGAGGATCTAGAGAACAAACGTTGCAAGCAACAGAGTAAGAAAAGGCCATTAGGTTTGGTAACTTGGAAAAGATGCAATTTATGGGAAGCATGAAATTTGTTTTGTTCTGAAACAACTTTATTAAGATATAATTCATTTATCATATAATTTATCCACTTAAAGTGTACAACTCAGCGGTATTTATTATATTCAGGATTGTACAACCATCACCATAATCAATTTTAGGACATTTTAATTGCCACCAAAAGAAAGCTTGCCCCCATTAGCAGTCACTCTCCAATGCCCCTTTGGCTTCACAGCCCAAGGCAACAATTAATCTACTTTAGATTTGCCTACTCTGGACATTGCACATAAATGGAAACATACACTATGTGGCCTTTTGTCTTTGACTTCTTTCATTGTTTTCAGAATTCATGCCATAGTATATATCTGTACTTATTATTTTTTTTTATGGCTAGTTAATGTTCCATTGTTTGAATGTACCACATTTTGTTTAACCATTTTCAGTTCATGGACATTTGAGTTGTTATTACTTTTTGACTGTTATGAATAATTCTGCTATAAACATCTATGTACAGTTTTTTGTGTGGACATATTTTCAGTTCTCTTGGGTATATATCTATGAGTGAAATTATTGGGTTATATGCTAACCGTGTGTTTAATTTTTGATGCAACTATTGCAGAGGATGGACAAGTTGCTAGTGTTTTTTTTTTTTTTTAGAAACAATTAAATGAATTTTAATATCATCACTAGTGGGAAATTACAAAATGTCCCTTTTCAAGCATATTATTCAGAAATAAAGGCATAAAAAATGAGCCTATACAATTGTTTTCTGTTGTGTAAAACTGTAACATGCTTAAACATTTCCTTTCATTGGAAACCTTGTGTGTTGAATGTTACCTCAAAGCTTAGCTGGAATGTTAGAGTTTTTTCTTGTAGATCAGTGTATTGATGTAAGTATACTTCATCAATTTCAAATAATGATTTGTAATAATGAGTACAGATATGATAAAAAATAATCCCAGGGATATTTGATGTTAATCTACAGTAATGACTTATTTTTTACTCATTAGTCTAAACTGTAGAGATCAAATACTATTGATTTTTTTTTTTTAATTTGGATTACCTGTAGTTCATGTGGCCTCAAAAGTTCAAGATCCAGAAAAACAAAAACAGAAAAACAAAACAACAACAGACAAACAAAAACTTTTAGGTCAGTATTGTTGATTGGCCATGTTTTTAGTCTGTTCCTGACCTAGGTGGGGTGAGTGTTGAGAACAGTCAGCATGTGGTATTTTCCCTCCTACTGAAGTTTTTTAAAAATTATTTTTATTTTAAATTTTTTTAAAGATTTATTTTATTGGAGAGAGAGAGAGAGAGAGAGAGAGAGAGACAGAGATAGTGAGAGACAGCATGAGTGGAGAGGAGAGCGAGAAGCAGGCTACCTGGTGAACAGGGAGCCCAAGTTGGGGCTTGATTCCAGGACCCTGGGATCATGAGTGAAGGCAGATGCTTAACAGGCTAAGCCACTTGGGTAGCCCCTTACAGAAGTTTTTTTATTTTATTATTATTATTAATAATAATAATTATTTTTTTACAGAAGTTTTTAAGTGGGATATCATAGGCTTGCTTTATTGGAACTTGGATTTAGGGATCCCTGGGTGGCGCAGAGGTTTGGCGCCTGCCTTTGGCCCAGGGCGCGATCCTGGAGACCCGGGATCGAATCCCACGTCGGGCTCCCGGTGCATGGAGCCTGCTTCTCCCTCTGCCTATGTCTCTGCCTCTCTCTCTCTCTCTCTCTCTGTATGACTATCATAAATATATTAAAAAAAATTAAAAAAAAAAGGAACTTGGATTTAGCTAGTCACTTCATGCTTCCATAAATAAATAAATGAATAAAAAAAAGTTTTGGGGGAGAGTATTATGTTCAGATTTTTCAATATTGAAAGGTATTAACTATGAACAGTAAAATTTCCATCCTATTTTTGTCATTCAAATCTTTGGGTGACTACTATTATACTATTTTTTGGGCATATTCTTCTAGATTTATACTTTGCATATATATTTAACTGTATTTTTTCTTCCCCTTCCTCAAAATATGGTAATTTTTGCATGTATTTCTATACTGTGCCTTTTTTACTACCAAAAATACCTATAAGATTAGTCAATATGTATTTGTATATCAGGAATATTCTCATTTTTTCCAACGGCTGCTTTTAATTAACTACTTAAATCAAGACATTGTTGGTTCATATCTTTACTATTACAAATAATCCTTCAGTGTGCATTTGTAATTTTGATTGATTTTACTAGATTGCCCTTGTTGAGTTTTGTCATCTTATGCTGCTACTAGCAGTGTATAATTACTCCTGTTTCTCAATAGCCTCAAAATGTGATATTTTGATGTTGGTCAACCCACACTAAAAAATGGCATTTGGGTGTAGTTTTATTTTGTATCTTTCTTTTGAGTGAGGTTTAGCATCTTTTGATCTGTTTAAACTATTATATGACTTTTCTGTCAACTGGGATTTGCCCACTTACCCTTTGTCATCTCGTTTTTAGTCATTTGTTGGAACTCTTTATTTATTAGGTAGGCCAGACCTTTAATGGGTTTAGAGTTAAATGGAAACGGATGTTGGAAAAGAAGTTGCTTCATTTCTAATTGAAATCAAAACATTCTGGTAACTATTGGGAGTTGGAAGCCAGAGTCGTACATTGCATAGCCTATTTAAGTTTATTTTCCAGTCCCGTGGAACTTTGGGAGCCAACATTTTTGGAGGAGTTTATGGAGATGACGTGATTTACTAAATAAATATATTTCAGATAGTCTCTGAGGGATGGTACATTGCTCAAGAAATAGCACATTTATCCTCCACATTTTATTTTTTTTCAGACAAGCCTAAGAAGCAGTATTTAAAATCTCTCATATACATTAACATGCCTATTACATCAACCTTATTCATTATAAAATATAGATGTTTCAGTTTATTTATGAAAAAAATGTATCTTTTTTTCTTTTTTAAAGATTTTAATTATTTATTCATTAGAGACACACAGAGAGAGGCAGAGATGCAGGCAGGGGGAGAAGCAGGCTCCATGCAAGAAACCCCATGCGGGACTTGATCCCGGGACTCTGGGATCACGCCCTGAGCCAAAGGCAGACACTCAACTGCTGAGCCACCCAGTCATCCCTTAAAAAATTTATCCGATAACAGTGAGTCAGAGTAGCTTTAAGTTTAATAACCCATATTGCCTGGATGTGTTTTCATTTTTTTTTTTTTTAAGATTTTATTTATTTATTCATGGGAGAGACACAGAGAGAGGCAGAGGCAGCAGAGAGAGAAGCAGGCTTCCCACAGGGAGCCTGATGCAGGCGTCAATCCCAGGACCCTAGAATCACGACCTGAGCCAAAGACAGATGCTCAACCACTGAGTCACCCAGGTGCCCCAGATGTGTTTTCATTTGAACTGAAACTTAATTTTCCAAGGATTGAGTTTTTACTTAACCTATGTCTGTAGTACTAGTGGGCCCAAGCTCATTTCATAGCAGGGTCAGACATGATGGCATGCATAGGCTGGAAGATGAATTGCTAATCACTTAAATTCTGCTTCATCAAGTGATGCATGAATAAATAGTAGTTAAAGTCAAATAACCAAAGAGAAATAACCAAACAACCAAAGTCAAATAAAGGTAACTGGGGCAGATCCTTGTGAAATCATTAGAAGATCCATTCTTAAACAGCTGCCACCACAAAATAAAAACATATGCAGGCATTTTCATTCACTTTTATTTAATCAACATCAGCACCCCCCCTTTTTTTTTTTAAGATTTTTATTTATTTATTCATGAGATATACAGAGAGAGAGAGGCAGAGACACAGGCAGAGGGAGAAGCAGGCTCCATGCAGGGAGCCCGACATGGGACTTGATCCTGGGTCTCTGGGATCACACCCTGGGCCGAAGGCACTAAACTGCTAAGCGACCGGGGCTGCCCAGCACTCTTTTGTAATCAAACTTTCTTCCTGCATTTATGAGTATATGTTAACATTTTAATATTTAATAGCATATATATATTTTGATTTAAAACTGTTTAGCCTTTAGATGAAATGTTATATAAAAAAGATTGAATGGAGTCTTTTTAACCAAGAATTAAAAGTTAAAATGCCATAAGGCAGTGCTTCTCAGGCCATCTCTGGTATAAAGGTCCAACTTTAAGAACTTTTTAATTGACTGTTGACTGTTTCTTATATAAAATGGAAAAGAACCAAAGCCAAAACCCAAAAAAAACAAACCCCAAACAAAACTGAAATATGGAACTGTGAATGAAAGATATCAAATAAAAGCTGAATTTTATTGTATTTAATAGATAAAATCAAATATAATTTTAAGCAAATAGAAAAATCACAAAAAGTGTACACATTGTTGAAAATGTGTATATAAACCAATTAATATATTAACAAAATAATAATCTGTTGCAGACTGGTAACAAACCCTGGTTTGAAGACCATACCTAGGGTAAACACTATTTTTTTTAGGCAGCTAACTCATTTTTTACGTTACTATTTATGTATTATATTGGCAAAGAAAGACTTATGCCCCTCCCTATTTCTGTTTAGAATAAGGCACAAATTTTACCTAACTGTGAATCTAGGTGTCTTCTTGTGGTAATCATTTTACAGTATGTGTGTGTGTGTCAGATCTGTTTTGTACACCTTAAACTTACACAGTGTTATATGTTAGTCTAGAACAATAAAGCTGGGGGAAAAAGTAAGCTGCAATCTAGGCTTTATGTCAAGGTTTTGTGGTGTTTCCAGCATCACCTGTGATTCTAGATTGTCCCAGAGATTATTAGCATTTGGATTGAAGGGAGTAGAAGGTGATCTCTAAATTATATTAAGGTTTTCTTCAATGTAAATACAATGAAAGATAAAATATCTTTGGACTCAGTATGAAGTCTTTTTACAACAGTTCTTTTGTTTATATGATTTTAAGCAAGTACTGTCTGTGGACATAGATTTAAATTCTAACCTTTTCATATTCTTTGTATTACCCAGTTAAATGACTTTAAAATTAGATTTTTGGAAAGTTATCTTTGCACAAATTTGTATAAGTTATGTGTGTGTTAGTGAAAGAAATATATACCATCTTTGCCTGTTTTTCTTTAGGGTAATTCCTCTCCTGCAATTACTTTTGGATGGAAGTATGCACTTTTCCCAATAGAAGATGATAATCTCGGAGAATGACCATGGAGAAGGGGATGAGTTCTGGAGAAGGGCTGCCTTCCAGATCATCTCAGGTTTCGGCTGTTAAAATAACAGTCAAAGAGTTGGAAACAAAGCAGTCCCATAAGGAGAAGCGAGGGGGCTTTGTGTTGGTACATGCAGGTGAGCTCTAAGTGGGCAGTCAGAAGATGAAAATAATGTTGATTTTTTTTCTTGCTTTGAAGTACCCTGAGAATTGAATTTCACATCTAGAAGAGGCAAACTGCCAGAAAGGAGTTGGAACTAAAGAGATTGACTTCAATATAGGTCTCTTGGTCTTCATACTTGGAAGATGTTATAAGGACAGCTCTTCCTATATCTTCACTGCCCTATCCCATTTTTTACTTTTACCCCTTATATTAGGTATAATTAACTAGTGTTAAAATCAGAAAAAATAATTTCTTAAATTCTGGTTTGTGTTTTTAAAAATAATGCTGCTGAAAAATTTTATTGACTATGGCTATTTTATTTATTTTTTAAAAATTTCATTTATTTTGAGAGAGAGCACATGTTGGTGGGAAAAGCAGAGGGGGAGGGAGAGGAAGAGAGAGAATCTCAAGTGGACTCCATGCTGTGCATGGAGCCCAATGAGGGGCTTGATCCGACGACTCCAAGCTCATGACCATAGCTGGACACTTAACTGACTGAGCCACTCATGCGCCCCAACTGTGGTCATTTTAGAGTCGAATTACATGGTAATGGAGCTGGATTGCCTTCTTAATGTTGTAAGTGAGGAAGAGAGATTCAGCAGTGTCAACCTCATGGCTAGTCTATACTGGAGCCAGGGTGAGATACCATTAAGTGGGCTCTTAATTCCAGTGTAGTGCTTTTGGCAACAGATCACCCTGTAATCTCTACTTCAGAGGACGTGGAAGACAGACACAGTGATGTTTAACTCTTGGGTCCCGGATCATTGAACAGTTTGGGTTTCAGAGGAGTACAGCTCTGCTCAGGTCTGCCCAGCAGGCTTTTTTTTTTTAAAAAAGATTTATTTTTATTTATTTATTTATTTATTTATTTATTTATTTATTTATTTATTTATTTATTCATTTATTTATTTATTCACGAGAGACACACAAAGAGGCAGAGACATAGGCAGAGGGAGAAGCAGGCTCCCTGTGGGGAGGTCCCAGGACCCCAGGATCATGACCTGAGCCAAAGGCAGATGCTCAACCTCTCGAGCCACCCAGGTGCCCCTGCCTTTTTTAAAAGTCATTTTTATTTGCCTACATTTATCTAAAACTCATGACTTCTATGAAGGTAGAAGAAATGGCTGAATCTTCTTTTAACTTTCCTTAGATAGTCAAGCAGGATGGAATCAAGATTAAATTTGATATGCAGTAAGGAGTAGAATTGTTCTTTTTGTCAAATTGGTGCCCTGCCTGGTCATTAACCTTTGGCTGTATCTGGACTAGATAACTTGGGAAGTCTTACAGAGTCTAATCTAGGAGTATTGAAAAAAACCTAGGTTCAATTTGCTTTTCTTTCGAAAGATTTTACAAAGAAATGATTTTACAAAGAAATGAGGTACATTTTAGAAATAATGCAGTTAAAAGTAAACTTGGGACCAGACTGCCTGCCTTCTACTATACCATGTTAATAGTGCATCTGTCATGGTACCCAGTAAGTTATTTTATTCAGAATGAGTATGTGACAAAAGTATAAGAAAGGTTTGAAATTTGTAACAGGTGACAACATAGAGCTTTTGATTAGTTGGAGTGCATTGCTTTCTGTGACTGTCATGGTGGTATCCCTCTTCTTGCAGACATTCCCTAGATGGGAATGGCTCTTAGATGTAGTTGATGCTGGGGGCCAGCCGTAGTAGGAGGAAATCTGGGTTATGACAGGAAATTATGTGGATTAAAGTGACCCTTTCCTAAGTTATTAGAAGGTCAGATAGACTGATTATACAGAAATATATATCTTGGACACTTTGGGGACAAAATTTCAGTTCCTCAGTCATTGTAGAGACTTTAAAGCTTATTTTTTTATTTTAGTTTTTTTTTAAAGATTTTATTTATTTATTCATGATAGACATAGAGAGAGAGGGAGAGGGAGAGAGGCAGAGGGAAAAGCAGGCTCCATGCTGGGAGCCCGACGCGGGACTCGATCCCGGGACCCCAGGACCGCACCCTGGGCCAAAGGCAGGCGCTAAACCACTGAGCCACCCAGGGATCCCCTATTTTAGTTTTTTACTAGAGGAGACTTGCCCAAATTTTATTTTATTTTATTTTATTTTATTTTATTTTATTTTATTTTATTTTATTTTATTTTATTTTATTTTATTATTTATTTTTTTTTAAAAGATTTTTTATTTATTTATGAGAGACATAGAGAGAGAGAGAGGTAGAGACACAGGCAGAGGAAGAAGCAGGCTCCATGCAGGGAGCCTGATGTGGGACTTGATCCCAGAACTCCAGGATCACACCCTGAGCCAAAGGCAGATGCTCAACCACTGAGCCACCCAGCCATCCACCATCCCCTTTTTTTTTCTTGCCCAAATTTTAGTCATTTGAATCTTAGATTCTTGATTTTTTCCTAGATCTTATATTACCTGTACTGTTTACCTAATCTTAAAAAGCTGAACACTTTTTACCTTAAAAAGTAAAAGATGAAACGTATTTTTAGTTAAATGAAATATCAGTATCACTTGCATTAGGAAAAAATAAACACAGTGCAACCAAAACAGTGTAATTAAATTTTAGCTGACTCCTCTTGCATGTTAGTGGCTTAGATCCTGAGGCTACTTTTCCTTTGTTAAATAGAGAATTTAGCAAGTGTGAATCAGATATTAAAGATGTACAGTGGCCATGCTGAGACTTTTCACTTATTCAGAACAGAAGGACTTAAATGTTAAATCCTATTAAAACTGTTATCCATACAGTAAAGTCATATGTATAGCAGTAGTGTCCCATGATTTGGGAAATAAATACTCCTGAAAGATTGGGCCCTGACATCTAAGTTGACAGGTATATTAGAGAACCATGAAGAAGAGAGGCCTGTTAAATATTGGTTCTCCTGAGAAATAGGATTAGAATTTGGGTGATTATGGATTCTTGTTGTTTTGGCATCTTTTTTGCCCTTTTGGGTCCCTGATTGATAGATTCATGGGCTAGTTCTTTCTGTGGTCTGAGGAAAGGTGGAGTAAGATTGTGTCACACAGTCTGTAGTCCCAAGTGAAAAGCCCTGAGGCTTAGAAATGCAGTTCTTAGCCTTCCTTCTGTTGGACCCTTATGGGGCCTTGGTGAATGGGTGAGGGAGTGATTCAGAGTTCTGTTAAAGAACTTTGTTTAGAAGCCTATTCATCCAGAGAGTTTAAGGGCCCTAGTTCTGGTTTCTTTCTTATTTAGATTATTTTCAAATCCCTAACTAAGCAAGTATTAATTCTTTTAGGGAAACAAATTTCAGAGCCATTCTCTTGAGGAAGTTGCTGGATGTTTAAGAGATGGGGACCACTGGGATTTCCAATAGGTGGGCTAGAATATGCTGTCACTGAGGTTTCAGAAACCCTCTGAGCTATATTCCAACAGCGAGAGGATGTAAAAAAGTGTTAGCGCAGGGGAGTGGTGGTATTTTGTGGTTGTGGAGAGGTGGGATGTAACAGTCCTCAACTTTAAATGTTATTTAGAAACTACCTAGTTTTCTGAAGTTACTTTTTAGTATATGTGCTGCCAAAGCGAGCACTCTCAAGTTACTTTTAAGAATTCAGGATTCTGAACAGTAATTTACCAAATGGCAGGGACTTTCTAAGGGTCAGCAAAAAGGAACGTGAAGGGACTCTGTCCCTGACACCTCCTGGGTTATTACCTCCAGACCAAAAAACTCTTGACTTTGGAGAGAGATTTTCGAAAGGAGATCTTGATGGGGCCTGTTTGGGAATATGAGCTATTTCTAGTGCCTCTGGCAGGAAAATAACCTTTGAAAAAGGAGCTAAGACATGGTGTTAAAAAGGCTTATGGTAGAGAAGGAAGCTATTAGATTTTGAAAACTCCATACATGTAGGACAATAGTTTTATTGTGATCAGGAGAGTATCAATTTGTATGAACTATTTATATAATATATGTAAAGTTTCTGATATTTTAATGATTACTAACAACTGGTTGTTTTTTTTTTTTCCACTACAGGTGCAGGCTATCATTCTGAATCCAAAGCCAAGGAATATAAACATGTATGCAAACGAGCTTGTCAGAAGGTATGAGCAGAGTGTGTCTGATGGAAACATTTCGGTTTTGACCAGCTTTACCCTGAAATTCAGAATTTTAAGATTTGACTTATAAGATGGTCTTTACTTTGGACCATGAAATTATTTTGCTCATATTTGTGGGGTCTCTGTTTTGTTTTGTGTTTTTTATTCTCCAAATGATGCTTAGATCTTTCTCTTCCTTTCCCAGATTAAAGTCTGTGTTTTTGGAATTGTGGGCACATAATCATATATCTTTTAATCTTTGCAAAGGCATTGAGCTCCATAGGAGTAGAGAAAATAGTTCAAAGGCAGCTAGTGTGTCTTTCTATAAAGAGAAGAAAATAAATAATAAAAAATTAAAATGGGTGCTTTTCTTAGGGAGATTACCCTGTGCTTTTTCCTTCAGTTTTTCATTATGTAATTTGTATCATAACAAATTCATTGTCATTCCTGAGCTTAGTTTTGCCCTTGTTCTTAGTTGTGCTTTTTCCCTCTTTGGTTTTTGAGGCTTTGCTAAATTGTTGAATAGTTAAGTAGAGGCAGGAATGGACTCAGAAGAAATATTGTTTGTTTTTATTTTGATCTTGACTATATATACCCTTTTGGCAAAGTTACCATTATTTTTTGCAAATATAATGTTAATGGATATTATATATCAAGTAAATATGGGTCTCTTCCAGCTCTTTTCATTTATATTTACATACCATTTAAAAGAAAGATTATACTTTATTAGAGATCCAAGCTTTTTCTTATGACTGAAATCACATAAATAAATAATATTTTGTTATAGGGATTTTATTTTTTTAAATTTATGATAAAGCTAAAGGTTCTCTAAACTATTTCTTATTTTTAATCTTTTTTTTCAAAGTGTGAGATGTGGCAGCCTGGGTGGTTCAGCGGTTTAGCGCTGCCTTCAGCCCAGGGCGTGATCCTGGAGACCCGGGATTGAGTCCCATGTTGGGCTCCCTTCATGGAGCCTGCTTCTCCCTCTACCTGTGTCTCTGCCTCTCTCTCTCTCTGTCTCTCATGAATGAATAAATAAAATCTTTAAAAACCAAAGTGTGAGATGTTCACATTGTCTGAAAAAATAAGTTTTATATAACTATAGTCCTAGAATACTAATACAATTGGAATCTATAATCAGCCTCCTCAATCTACACAGTGAATGAACGTCTTAAAAGTTTAATGAGGAATACAACTCTTAGGTTTTGTGCATTTTCTTTGTTGACTAAATTGGAGCTTTAATAGTTCATTTAGAAATCAGTTTACCTTCTTTCTCTTTCCTTTATCCTTCAGACATAAGGTGATTTTATGGGCCTTTACGTTTTATAGTTTATATTACAAAAGAACATGATTTGTTGATATATATATATATACACACACACATATACACATACATATATACACAGTATACAATATACAGTAGTCTGCCCTCATCCATGGGGGATATGTTCCAAGACTCCCAGTGGATGCTGAAACTGCCTATAGTACCGAACCCTATATGTATTGTGTTTTTTCCTATGTATACATACATATGTATGATAAAGTTTACTTTATAAACTATAAACTTTATAAGTTTACTTTATAAACTAAACTACTTTATAAGCAGTAAGAGATCAACAACAGTAATTAGGGGATCCCTGGGTGGCTCAGTGATTTGGCGCCTGCCTTCGGCCCAGGGCGTGATCCTGGAGACCTGGGATCTGGTCACATGTTGGGCTTCCTGCATGGAGCCTGCTTGTCTCTCTCCTTGTGTCTCTGCCTCTCTCTCTCTCTGTGTGTCTCATGAATAAATAAATAAAATCTTTAAAAAAACAACAGTAATTAATAATAAAACAGTAATACTGTGTGTGTGTATACAAAAGTTATGTGAATGTGGTCTCTTTCTCTGTGAAAATACCTTACTGTACATCACTCACCCCTTCTTGTGATGATGTGAAATGATAAAATGCCTACTGATGGCATGAAGTGAGTGAATGATGTAGGCATCGGGGCATAGTGCTAGGCTATTATTAACTTGATGTTATGTCAGAAAGAGGATCATCAACTTCTGGACCATAGTTAATTGGGAGTAACTGAAATTGAGTATAAAGGGGAACCACTGTAGTACCAAAAATGCTTTTGTCACAGGTATGTGTCCATTTAAAGATTCTGAAATATTTCTGAGTCTCGTTTTCTATAGTGAGGGGCGTGGAAAGTAGTAACTGGGAGAAGATGTTGTTAGCTTAGTCTGAGATTCAATTATGTATATAAAATATGAATTAGGATATTTATATATTTTTTCTTTATCCAAATATTTATTTAGATTCCATTTAACATACTGTGCAATATTAGTTTCAGGTGCAGAATTAATTAATTAAAGATATTATTTATTTCATGAGACACAGAGATAGAGAGAGAGAGAGAGAGAGAGAGAGAGAGAGAGAGAAAGAGGCAGAGAGGCAGAGACACAGGCAGAGGGAGAAGCAGGCTCCATGTAGGGAGCCCGATGTGGGACTTGATCCCAGACTCAAGCATCATGCTCTAGGCTCAAGGCAGGTGCTAAACCACTGAGCAGTCCAGGGATCCCCACAGGTGCAGAATTTAGTAATTCATTACTTACTTACAACACCCCATGCTCATCACAACAAGCACCTTCCTTTGAATTGTCAGGATATTTAAACCAAACTGAATCACATAATGTCTATAGCTGTTTTGAATTGCTGTGTGATGAGTGAAGCCCTTTCATTTACTAAATTGCCTGCACTTTGCATTTAATGGCAGATTTTATTCATTGTCTTAATTTGTGTAAAAAGTGAACTATATCATGAATTATCCTGAATATAAAGCCTTGCTTGTTTTAAATATAACTAGGTTATGTCTCGAAGTATGGAGTGGAACTAGTGATCAATTTTTATTAACTCTAAATGTCTCCTACACTTCTTTAAGGCTTTGGAAAATTTCTGGGTAGGTATGTTTGGGAAGTTGTGGTTTTACAATGAATAATCTCTCTCCTTGATTTCATAGGCAATTGAAAAGCTACAGGCTGGTGCTCTTGCGACAGATGCAGTGACTGCAGCTCTAGTGGAACTTGAGGTATTTCTTTTCTCTATGTTTTATTTAAAATATTTGTGAGTTTATGTTCATTATTCTTAAATGACATGAAAGTATTGAGTTAGTTAACCATCAGTTATAGGACCAGTGTTTCCCAACTGTACTAACAAATTTATGAAGAAGCCTGTGATATTGTTAGGTTGTTTTCATTGAGGACTTCTCTGAATATCATAAAAGTTGGTTAAATCCCATCCACCCACCCCTTTTTGTGAGATTCATGAATACAAAAGTTATTGGTGTTTGGATACTTAAATTTTCCTATAATGTTCAGTAGGAAAATTCCTGAAGTTAACTCTATTTCCCCAAAAGTAACACATGTCCTCTTGTGTAGGAAACAGAAAATTACAGCTGTCTAGAAGTGTCTAAAGTAGAAGTGGAAGTTCCTCATAAATCTGTCAGATCTATATCCTGAAGCTGTGCTTTGTGAAGTGTGTCTTGTCCAGTGTGATTGTTAAGTTGGTCTCTGATTAACTGAAGACATTGAGAATTCAGTGGGGAGGCTCTCAAGGTCCCTATACTCATACTCTAAAGTGAGGATCTCTCAGTTCTCCTAATCTGGAATATTGAGGATGAATTTGTTCTGGTGATATTGAAGCCTTCAGAAGACTGACTCTTGCTCCAACTTAAAGAAGATAGATTTGTGTCAGTCTGTTTAGAGGATTATAGTGAACAAATGGTTTTCTGGTTGAGACCAATTGCTTGGAGACAAGATAGGAAGATAAAACAGTGATGAGTTGAGGTGGGAGGTGGATGGAGTGGGTTTCTCAAGTTGACTGAATTGTGGCCCTTTTGTTTAGGCTCTTATTTCAGAGTACCTTCCCAGTCATAACAGGCCTTGCTTTTTCCTATGAAAATTGCCCAGGAGTTTACCAGAAGGCCTGGCTGTGTTTTCTGTATATTTCTCTGCTTAGTTATGGAACTACACTTTTGTAGATTTTAATCTGTCCTGTTAATGCCTTCACATGGGTCCAAGTGTAGTCAAGGAAAGTGAATATAGATGATAGGTACGAGTTCTATTGTAGTTTTGGTCTCTAACACATCTGACTTGGGATATGTGGCCCCTCCTGTTGTGACTGATACATCTTATATCAGCTGTACCAATCCTTAGCTCTGGGCACCTCACAGATTCCCCTTGACTCAATTTTTCCATTTATAATATGGGGATAATTCCTATTTTATAGAATTCTGAAGATTGAGGTAACATATGACAAGCACTTGGGTCATTGTGTTGCACATAGTAAGTATCCCTGAAAAGTTAGTAATTATTACTGTTATGAAGTGCTTGGAAATGATATATATAATGTGGATATTTATGGTGATATCAATGACGTTTTTACAATATCAAGAAAAGTTTATATATTGTGGATGAAAGGAAAAAAGTGCCACAAGAAAGAAGATTGATGTTCTTACCACCAGATCTTACCTTTACTCAAAACACAAGGAAGGCTTCATCTAACTTAATTCAGTTGTTAATTACAAATTACTCTCCTTTATGTGTAAGAGGATGTCCTGAAATTATTGGGAGTGCATGGATGGAGTCAGTGTGGGGCCAGGGAAAGTAAAAGAAGGTTAATGAGTGGTTGGAAGGTATACTATAATGGCAATTATGAATACAAAATTGAGTAAAAATAAGTTTTTCTTTTGTTTTCATCTTAGAATAAGTTTAACTTTCTGAAGTCGTACATATATCATGTTGAATATTTTATTACATTTTCCTCCAGCAATGAATCAATCATACTTTTAAAGAGTTTACTCATTTATGCTTAAAAATGATTAAAAATACATTCTGGAATAGTAAGTTACTGATGAATAAGTGAGGTTTATAGTTTTGAATGATGGCATCTGTTTTTTAAGAGTGTGGATATTAAGTTCTTTTTTAAACAAACTTGTTCTATTATTTTTGACTGGATTATGTTGTACAGATAATGGGAGCATTAGATACTGACCTGAGTGAGTTTAGTGTACTTCTCCCTTCTCACCCCCATTACTAAATTTGGAGAATAATTTCAATTAGTTGTTTAAGAATTCGTTTTTATGTGGAACCTTTGAAATATGTTAGTAGTTTAAAGGCAAGGCTAACTGCAAGAATTTTCCTAAATCTTAAGAATTATGTTAGAAATCATGCTTATACTGCCCTCTGCAGTTTCAGTCACTTTGATTCACTACCTTTAAATAAGGTGAAGTTTTCAGGAGTTCAGTTGGAGTATTTTAACAGTTTGAGTCAACAAAACAATATAAGAAAATCATATTTAAGTATTTAAAAAATATTTTATTTATTTATTCATGAGACAGAGAGAGAGAGAGGCAGAGACACAGGCAGAGGGAGAAGCAGGCTCCATGCAGGGAGCCTGATGTGGGACTCGATCCCGGGTCTCCAGGATCAGGCCCTGGGCTGAAGGCAGCGCTAAACTGCTGAGCCACCGGGCTGCCTGAATATTTTCTGTAATATAAATAACATATCAAGTCTTTTCAGCTTACTGAAAAGAGAAAATCAGAGAGTCTGATTTATAATGTGTTGTTTAATTTAGGAGTACCTACTTTTCTTTAGTTTTGATCAATTTATTCAGTAAAGCTAACTCTTGTATTAATTGCTGAAATAATACCTTTTTTTTTTTTGTGACTTTGGGATGTACTCTTTTGAATAAAAAAAGAAAACCTTTTTTTTTAAACATAGGCAGAATTCCTTGAATGCTTTACTGATTGTGAGCTGAAATGACTGAAATGGTTTAATGGTCCTTACTGGCTAGAAGGAATAACTGACCTTGTATTTAAAAAAAATATATGAGAATTTGCACTTATCAAATAGTCGAAAGTACACTGATTTCAACTCCATGGCATAGAGGAGGAAGAGACAAGGTAAAAGAAAAAGAAATTTATGTATATATATGTGTGTGTGTGTGTGTGTGTGTATATATATATATATATATATATATATATATATATATACACATATACACTTACACAGGCCACCAGACACATTATTTTTGAACTTTTCTTGGAAACCAGTTACCTTGTGTAGTTTCATTATCCTCATTTACCACAACAGACAAGTGGTGTCATCCTAAGACTACCACTTCTGTACACTAGAGAGATGTTTCTATCATTTAAATAAGTAAGGAGGTGAGTGCATAAGTTCCTGCCTGTTGAACTGACCAGTTTCTCTCCTCAGGGTTTTGGGAGGGAAAGTGCCCACCCCATTTGAGGTGTGTTCTGCAGTGTGGAAGTGAAAATGATATGACACTAGAGTGCTTTTTGTTTATCTTCAAAATGTGAAGAGGGAAATAGAAACAGTTTATAGATCATATTTTAATTTGTTATTAAACTGATTTGGTTTCATTGTTTCACTTAGCTATTTATAGCTTTTTTTGAGATTTTCCTTATAAACTGATGGGAAAATGACTTCTATCCGTTGGATAGTACCATTCTGATCTCCTTCAGTGGAAAAGAGGTGTTATGAAACATCTTGATCTTCCTATCTGGGGCTGTTCATCTGGAAGGTAGTTGTTTTCATGGCTGCTTTTGGAATAGTTTTGGTTCAGGTAGTGGCAGTGTAAACTCTAGACCATAATTTTGCACATTTCACATGGTATAACTTCTAATATGAATTTCTTCTTTGAGAAAATTGGCAATAGATCTGGATGAATCATGATGCAACTGTTAATGTAGAAAGTGTGCCACTGAGTCTGATGGAAAACAAGCTACTTGTAAAATACTTACTGAAGCTCCCTTGGCACATTGATTTTTTTTTTTCTAAAAAACATCTATTAAGGCCTGGTTTTTAATTTCTGATAAGGAATCTTGGGGGGAATTTGAATGACAGACTTTTGAGAGTTTTTTTGTAGTCTTGTATGAGAAAACTGATGAATCTGGCTGAGAGTTTGAATATCTTGGTGTAGGCTCTGAGAGATTTTGGCCAATTCATTTTGAAAACTGGTTATTTTGGTAGGTAGAATACTGTGCGTTAAAATAGTGGTTGATATAGCTTGGAAACTTCATATAGTGAAAGGCAGCTTGCACAGACTTCTTTGTTAAAAATGTTTTGTTGAGTTTATATTATTCTAAGTGGATGCTGCAGTTCTTGTGTTGACTTGATTTGATTCATCCTTTAAGGCTTCCTATGGTCAGGAGAGATGGTAAGTCATGACTGAAACTAGTTTATTATCCAAATGCTTTAGCATTTAAAGAGCAGATTATATTGGGCACACGTTTCTATGTCTGTCTGCTAAAAGCAGTCTGTTGTCTTTGGGTCTCTATGTAATCAAATGTAATGCTCGCTTATAAACTCTAAGAAAATTGTTTAAGAAGTAACTTCTTATAGATGGCTGATAGTTTGGGGTAGGAGAGGGAAAAAAAGTATTTGCATTATTATATATTTATGTTATTATATATAATATTGTCTCTACATTCTTTTTTACCCAGAGCCAGCTGGCATAACACCATGCATTACTTTAAAGCAGGGATCTTCAGAATATCATCACTGTTGACTAGTCTGTTGTTGGGGCCTCAGTCCAGGTTCTGTGCAGTTACAGGATTAGGCCACACTCTCTTTTCTTGGGCTGGAATTGTGTGCCACAGGGGGAGAGAGCACCTAAGGCCTGCTAGTCCTTAAAATGCTTAGTGGTCATGGAAATGATATGGATTGCTGCTGGCATATGGGTAGGTCTAGGATGGAAGGGAACATTGGGAAGGGCTGATAAAACCCACTTTCTCTCAACAAACCTGTTCACAAGTTTGGTTGTGGAGTTTGGATGTGGAGTTTCTTTGTGAGTAGGCACTTAACCACATCCCGCCCCCTACCCTACCTCAGTGTTTGTTTTTTGTTGTTGTTGTTGCATAAAAAGAGGGGCATTTGTTTTATAGGCATTTCTTTTATTTGGGAAGTTAGAAAATTATGTAAATAAATGAACATCTCCATTTTTCTGAACATTTTCTGCTTTGCAGAAATCATCTTTTCATAAGCAGCGGGTAGCTGAGTATTTCAG